TAAGCGGCTTACAAAGTGATCTAACCTGAAGACCCCTTTGTCGAAATGGTACAAGAAATATAAAGAAGGGAGTCAGAATGACTAGTCCCTGTTTCTCCTTCCTTGCCATAATGTCAGAAGCAGTAGAAAGCAACCAAGCAAGTTGCTCTTTTCTTGCACAAACACCTCCTCCATTTGAAGAATCAACCACATTCCAACCCGAAGAGCAACGCCTCCACAACTCAGCACCCCCTGAGCTGCTCTTAACAAAATTATTTGTTGGCATCTCCTCATTGGATGAGTTATGCTAACAACCACTTGTGTTTACATACATAATTTGACACTTAATAGTATCATGCATATAGGTAGAGAAGACTCGGACAAATAAACTTACCCTAGGAATAGCTAACTAGTAGTTTATGCTTACATAATTCTTTTACTTAACCCTATTCTAAATATTTGACAGTATATTTCTTACATTTAAGTTGTAATATCCTGCTCAAGCGTTTAGTCTTGTATCATTAAGTGCGGTAAATAAATGTTGCTGAATTCCGACGACATTCTTCAACATGTCACTAGTAGAAATTCAACTATCCTAGACGGAATATCCTAGACGGAAAAAATTCCGTCTAGGATACTATATCCTAGACCGAAACATTCCGTCTCTGGTATTCCGTCTAGGATATATTATTCTAGACGGAAATTTCCGTCTAGAATAGTATTCTAGACGGAATTAGGTATTCATTTATTTTTTTTAAATAGTCTGTTCATCCTAGACGGAAATTTCCGTCTAGGATGAATTTTATTTCCGTCTAGGAGAGTCTCTCACTTTATATTCATCAGAACCCTAAAATCCGTATCCTCCAAATCAAAAATTCTTCTTCTTCTTCTTCTTCGTTCGTGCCGTCCTCGACGCCGTCTGCAGCCGATCGTTTACACCTCGTCGTCCTCTCCCACTCCCGCCGCCTCCTCAGTCCTCATTCGACCCTCGTTTACACATCGTCGTCGTCTTCCTCTCACACTCCCGCCGCCTCCTCAGTCCTCTCCCACCACGTCAAGCTCTTCCTCTTCCTACTCCCGCCGTTTGCCACCTCCGCTCATGGAGCCCTTGCCGGCGATTGCCCTAATTGAGGTAAGCGATCCTTGATCTTGATTTGATTCTATGCGATTTCTTTAGGGTCTGCCTGATTTCTAGGTTTCGTTGATTTTGGTATCTTTTGTTCTTATTTTGGATTTCTTTAGGGTCTGCCTGTATTTCTTTAGGATCTTGATTTGATTCTGTGCTTATTGGGGATTTTGGTATCTTTTGTGCTTAGTGAGGGGATGGCTGACTCAGGCTGAGGGGTACTGTGTCTGTGCAATTTGCTTGGAGAGGATCTTGATTCACGAGGCTGCCGGTGTGAAAGCTTGCGAGCACGCTTACTGGTTTGTTTTACGACTTCATTTATTTTGCATTATTTTGCGAGCATGCTTACTCGATTGTGCTATACATAGTGATATATGGGATGATTTAATGTTTCCAGAATAGGCTAAATTGTTGTTAAATCCAGGTCCCATGCTATATATTGCCGATTTGTCATAAAATGGAGCTGCTTTATCTATTTGTTCATTAATTAGTAAGTTCGATCAAAATTGTCAGTTAGTGTAGCCAGATATATTATGGACAATTGAATTTATGAAGCTATTAGTGCGCCAGATATATTAAAGGTCTCTTGAGTTCGACATTGGCAAATTAAGAGGTTTGTAGGTTTATAAATTAAGTTTTGGGTTCCGTCCCCTAAACAACTAGCTTCGGGATGAATTCCCCTGCCCCTTACATAAAAAAATGTGCTCTACTTAAAATTATGACTAATACTATAACTAGAGACTGATATACTATAATAAAAGGTAATCTGTCCTTTGATATTTAGTTGTCCTTTTGGTTGCTTGTGTTTTGTTTCTTTTTTCGTTTATGTCAATCTCTTTTCCCCCTACCTTTTTCCTTATTTATTTCCACAATTTTGTTAGCTTCGTAACTTTTTGTTCTGTGCGTTAAACATGCAGCCTTAGTTTTCCCTTTCCTTCATTTGTAAGTATTTGTTTTTCAATCTACTATTAAAAAAGTTTTAGTTTTGATGCCACTATTTGTTTCTGGATCTGTAAGAAATAATACATAAGGGAAAAGAAAGATTTACGGATAAAAATGACATGCATGTTTGTATGTATACGCGTAGAGATTACCACCATTGTTGGTTTATCATTTGGAAATATTTAGCTAGAAAAAGCTTGGACATTTATTTTTGTTTACTTGGAGTTTCTACCATGACGAGGCCGATGAACTTAGAGCCCCTAATTGGCAACTTCTATAGCAGTGAATTAAGTTTGAATTTATATATGATACCTCCTCCTCATTGGCAACTTCTATTTCTGTTATCTTGTTTAGCTAGTTAAGCCCACAAGGCTCTCATGTTTATCATACAGTTTGTGATTTGATTAATTGTACAAATATGATTATATAGGCTTGTGATTTGAAAATGTGAGTTTGGAAGAAAAGGTTTTAAAAAAATAGAGTGATATATAACGCAATATTATATAATAATGTGTTATATATCCAATTTAGGTAAAAAATATAACGTTAACCCTAGACTCCCGTCCAATAATTACAGCCAATTCTTTGAGGTTATAATATTAGATGAACGAGTCAAATTTGGGTAAGAGGTAAATTTTCCTACTCGAAATTGATCGTTCATCTTTATATTATAATAGAAATGAATTGGTATAAAAATTTGTAATTATTGGATCTGTCCTTCTCGGACGGGTTAGGAATATAATAGTGCATACATCCAACTTTGTATACTTTGTATGATTTCATTTCTTAAAAATTTTGGCAGCCCATACCTGTTGTTCTCCGTGTACAATAAGCGTATGTTCTGCGTTTTGGTATATTATCAATACGCATAATAACATCCGCACAGTGTACAGGGAGAACAACGAGTAGGTGCTGCCGAAATTTTCAAGAAATGAAAATATACAAAGTATATGAAGTTGGATGTAAGCACTATTATATTCTTAATGGATAGAAGCCTTCCTATGACAGCCGATCAATTGGTGTAATTAGTTTCTACGTACGTTTCAAATATATTTTATGTAGAACTAAATTTATATTGTTAAATGATATATGAACGTATGTTAGATTTGTTTTGTATGTATAAGAGTCATGAATGTACTAGTAGTTGTGTGATTTGTCGTAGTTAATAATTATATATAATTTACAGATGAGGGTAATTCCTGACAAATCATGGATAGATATCCCACGGCTTCATAGATTTCGTGACACACGATACAAGGAGGGATGTGAAGCCTTCATACGTTATGCAGAAATGAATCCGAGAAAATTAGCAAGTGGTGCTATGTATTGTCCTTGTTGCATGTGTAGGAATTTGAAATTGCTGAATAGTAATGATATACGGATCCACCTAATGAAATCAGGTTTTGATGAAAAATATAAATATTGGAACTGGCATGGGGAAGGTATCACTGAAGATGAGGATCCAAATGTGCGTGTCGGTACGTCCGGTGGACAACGAATAGATGACACAGAAACAATGTTGAATGATATTTTTCCTCGACCTAGAGAATTTGAGGGTGATGATAATGTCGAGGATGATATCGGAGATAAAAGTGAAGATGATATCGATGTTGAAGCTGAAGAAGTAGGAGATGATGGAAGTGCCGAAAATATTGATGATATGCATTCCTCCGCAGAAATAGAACGAATATTGAAGCTACTAGAAGATAGTGAAAAGGACTTATATGAGGGATGTACCGAGTACTCCAGATTTTCATTTATGCTAAAACTCCTACACATTAAGACACTTAGCGGTATGTCAGATAATTATTTTGAAATGCTTCTTGATTTGCTTCGAACTGTAATACCTGGAGGAGTGAATAGCATACCCCAAACAACTTATCAAGCTGAGAAGATTGTCGCTGCTCTGGGTCTAGATTATAATAAGATTGATGCATGTCCGAATGATTGTATTTTGTACCACAAGGCCAATAAAGACCTTCTTTATATATATATATATATATATATATATATATATATATATAATCTATGAAAAACATAATCATATGTGGCGTGTATGCTTGTGGATCTGTTGTGTGCTGAAGTACTTTTGGGGAATTTACTTTTTTTTAATATTCTCATGCTTTAACATTATTTGTGAATCTATGAAAAACATGATTCGGTCAGGCTAGATCAACTACCTAGCTACTAGGCTAATTTGCACAACTGTATTTGTGAATCCTACTTATATAACGCAAATTTGGCCTCATGTTTAGTTATTACTCATGTTTAGTTATTACTAAGCATACTTCTAAATTTAGGAATATATCATATTCTTAAAAATAATGCCACCTTCTTTTTTATCTTGCAGGTGCATGTGTTTCTTTGAGCTTCTCTGGAGAAAATGGTTTGTCATGCGTCATTGTATTTTTAAAGCACAATTTTCTTTGTGTTGAGCCCAAAACAAATAGTGAGTTGATTCAGTTGTGTGGCAGATTTATAAGTTGACATTGTGTTACTTTGTTGTGTGAAAAAACAAAGTATATATGAGGTTGGTATAATGTTGGTGTGTGATTTATTTATGAAAAAACATGTGTTACTTTGTTGAGAATATTTATTTAAGTTGTTTTGTGTGGTTTATTTAAGTGGTTAATTGGTATCATGTTGGTGTTGTGTGATTTATTTAAGTTGTTATCATGTTGGTGTGGTTTCTTAATTTGTAAGCTGAATTTACAGGGTTATTTGAGTGGATTTACAGATTTTTAAGCTGGATTTACAGGTTTGTAAGCTGGAAACAGCACAGAATATCCCAGACAGATTTTTTGTATCCCAGACGGAAAAACCGTCTGCGTTGTAAAGACGTATGTATGCAGACTTCCGTCTGGGATAGTTATCCCAGACGGAAATTTTCCGTCTGGGATAACTATCCCAGACGGAATATGTTTCCGTCTGAAATTACTATCCCAGACGGAAATTTTCCGTCTGGGATACCTATCCCAGACGGAAAATTTCCGTCTGTAATGTATTATAGACGGTATTTTTTTCCGTCTACTAAAATCCGTCTAGAATTCATTCTAGACGGAATTTCCGTCTAGAATAACGTATTCTAGACGGAAACAAACTAGACTCGTATTCCAGACGGAATTCCGTCTGGAATAGGTTTTCTGGACGGAATTTTAATTATTCCAGACGGAATTTTCCGTCTGGATTACGTCGTTTTGTACCAGTGTGTGGATCTTTATTTGCAGGAAGTTGTTGGAGTTGAAGGTTCTGTTCTGAGGCAGGGGAGAAGTGTTATAGTAATTTCGGTCGAGTTCAGGATAAAAGAAACTCAGAAGCTCTTCTACACATCTCGGGCCACTTTTTATGTGATGCATTTCGCAAGTTTATGAGTTCTCCGACAACTTCAAGTAAGAAGTTATGGCCATATATAATGTGTTAGATAATAATATGTTGTTGTCATATCGATGAATTTGCATAAGATGAAGGATTTTGTGTGCTCTGCGTATCGATGAATTTGCACAAGACTAATTACTGCCCAAAAACTGAATGAACATCAATGCACAATAATTTTTTCTTCGTCTTTACGATTACTTTCACATTGATGATGCTAACATAAAATCTTTATTGTATTTCTCTCCCTCTGCTGTTGTATAGGTGGAAGCAGATGAAGCATATTTGAGTAATGAAAGCACAGTAACCAATATAAACACCTTTTTTGAAGATGCCTGTAAATCGTCATGTGAAGGAATAATGGCAACAACTCTAGATATTGATGCTGGATATTGTGCATCAAAGCGCACTGATGCCTGGTTAAAGGTACATCTAATTTGAGATAAGACGAACATCCCGCTTGATCAAACTTCTTGTAGTCTGATGTTTCATAATTTCTCATCAGGTCAAACGTGACTATATTGGGTGACAGTCTTGATTTGGTACCCATTGGCGCTTGGTATGGGAATGGAAGAAAAGCGGGATGGTACAGATAATAGGCTTCCCTTCCTTCTTAATGTTTTCCTTTGATCTAATGGTTTCTCCTATCAAAATGATTTTGTTTCTCTGACTGCCACGGTACAGGTACAGCCCTTTCCTTATGACGTGCTACAACCCTGATGCTGAAAAGTTTCAAAGTGTGTGTAGAGTCATGTCTGGCTTCTCAGATGAATTCTATAAGTCGGTAAGTGCAAGTTATAGTGAAGTGTATAATCCCCTTTGTACAACTAAAGTTGTATGTTCTCGCACGTAATGCCAGCTTGCATGTTATCTTGCACTAAACAGGTTCAAGTTTCTAGCTTCTAGCTTAAATTTCAGTTCCTGCTTACGCTCAGAATGATGAGGAAAAAGGTGAAGAATGAGAAGAAGAAGGCCTGAGTAAATGTATAGGGAAGGAGTTGAAGAAGCTTCTGCAGTGTCACAACCATTGTAAATAATTTATGTAAAAGTTTGTAAACAATTTATGTATCTCTCTACTATTTTGGTGAATGTATTATTTGAATATAATGAAATTTGATATTGGAATATAATTAGATTGTGTTGGATATGAATATAATTTATTGTTCAATATTGTGTACATGCACTCAAAGTAGATTATGCTAAAAAAAACACTGTAGCATAGTATTCTAGATGAAAATTCCGTCTAGAATGCTCAAATTCCGTCTAGGATAGCTTATTTTTTAAAAAAAAAAATTAAAAAAATAAATAACATCCTTCCGTCTAGGATGAGTATCCTAGACGGAAATTTCCGTCTAGAATACTCATCCTAGACGGAATTTTTTTCCGGCTAGGATGAAGTATTCTAGACGGAATTTCCGTCTAGAATATTCCGTCTAGGATGTATTCTAGACGGTTTTGAATTCCGTCTAGAATATTCCGTCTAGGATGTATTTTAGACGGAAATTCCGTCTAGAATACTACATCCTAGACAGAAACATCCTAGACGCATATTCTAGACGGAATTCCGTCTAGAATACATATCCTAGACGGAATTCTGAGTATCCTAGATGGAATTTTCCGTCTAGGATACCTTATTTTTTACTTGTGAACGTTGTCTGATGACTAAGAATCCACAAACAACTATAGAAAAATGCAGTATTTCCAGACAAAAGATGGTATTGTAGCGCATGTTGATTTGAATTTCATATCTTAGACATGGAAGTCGTAATTCTCTTCAGCACACTTTACATACATAAGAAAGTATTTTTCTCACATACTTCACATAATTTCTTTAATGGCCAAACAAAAGATGGTTTCATTCCAGCACATTAAGTTACATCACATAATTTCTTTTATGGTCAAACCAAAAGACAACAAAAAAGCTATAACAGTTAGCCATTTTCACAACACTTTTTCACGTACAATAACTAAGCCATGCGTTGGGGGAAGTTGGCGTCGGATGAGTTGGGGGAAGTCGACGGAGGAGGGGGGAAGTCGCCAGATGAGGGAGAAGTCGGCAGAGTTGGGGGAGTTCACTTAGAGAGCTCAAGGGAGAGTGAGGGAGCTCGACGAAGTTCACTTAGAGAAGGAGGGTAACGTTGGGAGGGAGGCGGAGTTGGTGAAGTCGTCGGAGTTGCCGGATTTGGGGGAGATCGAGAGAGGGAGCTCGAGAGACTCACCGTCAGACCGATTTTAGGGCTTGATTGAGGAGGAGGGGTTGGGGATTTTTTTTAGGGGGGGAGAGAAAGGGGACGAGAAAAAGAAGGAGGAGAGGGGATGAAGAATGGAGAAGGATTGGTGAGGGAAGGAGAAGAGGGAAGAGAGAGAGAGAGAGAGAAGAGAGAGAGAGAGAAGAGAGAAGAGCAGAGAGGTGTGAGTAAGATATGTGGCTGTTTGCTTGTTGGTTTTTTGTCATAAAACCCATACCCCTTCGTGGGAATGCAGACGACTGTGCGTATGAACATGTACTGTGTACACACACTAATCATCAACACCACACATACACACATATATATATTACTATATATATTATATATATATGAGAATGTGGAGAACCTTGGGTAGAAGTTTCTTTTCCATATAACTTTGTAGTGAGGTGACCATATCTCACCCCTAGCATGCTTGCCTTTGAAGAGAGAGGCCTTAATCACTATTTACCTACTCTATAAAAGAGGCTCTATCGTTCGAGCTAATGTTAGGGGTGAGGTTTGGCCACGCTCACTACCAAGTTCAAATGAAAGAACTTAGTACCAAGGTTCTCTATATTTCTCTCTCTCTCCTCTCTCTGCTCTCTCTATATATAGTATTATATAGATATATATTATATTATATATAATATATATATATATATATTATTAATATTATATATAGTATATTTATTAGGCAAAACTTGTGTCAACTTAAAGTTGATAGCAAAAGTTATTCACCAAATTTTTTAGCGCAACTCATTATCTTAGGGATCCTACATGATATAAAAGCGTTTTTATATTATAAATGGTTGGCTAGGAAGTTGATAGGAGTCTTACTATATATATATCTATATATATTATAATAATATATAATATATATATATATATAGTATTATATTGAGAGAAGAGAGACGAGAGAGAGAGAGTGGAGAAATGGATATGTTTGGTACCAAGCATAAAAAATGATGCTTGGTAGTGAGGTGTCATGTCACACCCCCGCTTCTCAAAATACTGGGGAATCAGAATGTGAACAAGCCTGCGACATATTAGACTGAGGAGAAATGTACTAGACCTTTTACTCAATCTAATACGCTTAGTGTCAAGCAATATAAAATATGATGTCACAGGTCTCCGATCACAATTAGCAAGAATATAATGAACAACTCAAAACAAGAAGGTCATATCACAAATGAGATAACATCCGAGACACAAGATATAAGATGTGAACATTGTACAGAAGTAGAGGCTAGCAGCTTTCAGACTCAAAGGTGATGCAGGAGGATGATATTGACTCTGATTTACTCCAAAGTAGAGGATGATAGTTTCATGAGAGACCTTTGTTTATTTCTTCGATGAGTAGTATGTGTAGGCTGCAGCTAAAGCCGGGAAGGAGTTAGAGCTAGCCTGGTTAGAGCAGGGGGATATGTCCGTTACAGATTTTAGTAAGTTTATGACATTACTTAGATTCACAAGCATGTGGCACACTAAGGAGCAGCAAGCTCAGATGTTCTTGATGGGGCTTCACCCAGGCCTACATCGATATTTGGTATCCCGGAGGTTTCGGTCAGTGCGGAAGGTGGCTGATGCCGCCATATCTCAGGAGACGGAGATAGCTATGTTCATGAAGGATAAGGATGGAAATGCTAAGTCAGGACAACTTGGGGATAAAGGTAAAGGTAAAAGATATTTTGCAGTACCAAGAGGACCCCAGTAGTAGGGTAAGGATCCACATCAGTAGGGTCCCCATAAGAAGGGACATTAGTAGGATCAGAAGGCTTAGCAGGAGTACAAAGTTTAGGAGACTTGTTTTAACTATAATAAGTTTGGATACAGAGTAGCAGAGTGCTGCAACGCACCTGCATCAGGCTAGCAGGGCAAGAATCAATAGCAGTAGCAAAACCATGCTCAAGGCCGAGGTCAGAGCTAACAATTGAAGATTGAGGTACCGCCAGTAGTCCTGAGAATTGAGGGATAGGTGCGAGCCATTCAGGAGATCCAGCAGGGAAAGATGGTCCCATACATTATAGGTGATTCAGCGCAGCACCCTTCAACAATCTGCAAAGTCTATGCAGTTGTTCCTTGCGATCATGGCGCGAGCGGGGCCGTGGTGGAAGGTACATTCCTTATGAACTCCTTTCTAGCCCGTATTCTTTTTTTTGATTCTAGCGCTTCACATTCTTTCATCTCCTATGATTTTATGATTAATTTTCATCTTGTAGCGTAGCCTTTAGATATCCCGATATCTGTATCTATTCTTTTAGGAGAGGTGTCCCTCTTAGAGAGTGTTTGTAGGAGATGTGTCATCAGCTTAAACGATTCTGAGTTTGTGATTGATTTGATCATGTTGCATATGTCTAAGTTCGACGTTATCCTTAGTATGGATTTGTTATCTTCCTACTATGTGAGTATCGACTATTTTGCGAAGACAGTCAGCTTGTGAGCTTTTGATAGATCTGGGTTGGTGGTAGCGACCTCGCGGGGTAACCAGTTTGTGGAGTTATTTCTGGCATATGTTGAGGAGATGATGTTGCGGGATCAGGGCGCAATTTTGAGTGAGACGCGAGTAGTCTCAGAGTATCAGGATGTCATCTAGGACATGCCAAGTTTACCTCTAATGAGAGAGGTCGAGTTTTTCATAGAGTTACAGCCAGTAACCGCACCAATTTCTTGAGCACCTTATCGTATGACACCTACTGAGATGAGGGACCTCCAGATCTAGTTAGATGAGTTATTGTCTCAGGGTTTTATTCGCCAGAGTCATTCTCCGTGGGGGGCACCTGTCCTTTTTGTGAAGAAGAAGGACGGGAGCATGCGATTGTGTATCAATTATTGCGAGTTGAACAAGGTCACTATCTGGAATATGTATCCACTACCGAGGATTGATGACTTGTTCGACCAGTTATAGGGAGCATAGTATTTCTCGAAGATAGATTTTCGTTATGATTATCATCAGTTATGGGTTTGGAAGATGAATATTCCCAAGACCGCCTTTCTGACTTGATATGGGTCTTTCAAGTTTCTTGTCATGCTATTTGGGCTGACAAATGTACCCACGATATTTATAGATTTGATAAATCGGGTTTTTTGTCCATACTTAGACCAGTTCGTGATAGTATTCATCGACGATATTCTTATTTATTCGATATCGGAGACCGAGCATGAGCAGCATTTGTGATTAGTATTACAGACTTTGTGGGAGCACCAGTTATACGCCAAATTTAGCAAGTGTGAATTCTGGTTATTGGAGGTCAGATTTTTAGGCCATGTTATCTGTCGTGAAGGCATTACAGTAGATCCGGCTAAGGTGGAGGCCGTTCTTGATTGGGAGCCGCCGAAGACTGTTATCGAGATTCGTAGTTTTTTAGGTTTGGTGGGCTGTTACAAGAAATTCATTCGGGCTTCCCGAAGATTACCATGCTATTTACACGCCTTACTAAGAAGGGTGTATAGTTTGCTTGGGGTATGGAGTGTTAGAAGGCCTTTGAGACATTGAAGGCTAAGTTAACTTCAACGCCAGTGTTGATTATTCTGAGTAGTGATAAGACTTTTGTTGTCTACACTGATACGTCATTATCGGGTCTTGGAGGTATTTTGATGCAGACCTAGAGAGTGGTGGCCTATATTTTAACGCGGTTGAGGACTCATGAGCAGAATTATCCCATGCACGATTTGGAGTTAGCAGCAGTAGTCTTCATACTAAAGACTTGGAGGCATTATTTATATGGAGTGCAGTTCGAGCTATTTACAGATCACTAGAGTTTAAAGTACCTCTTCTCACAAAAAGAACTCAATCAAAGAGAGCAGCGATGAGTCGAGTTTATTAAAGGATTATGAGTTCGCTATACAGTTTTATCCGGGAAAGACGAACG